CCCCTTGTTTCTTTAACAATATCCCACTTTTTCTAATGAGATTCAATAGCTTCTGAGCTGTAAACAAACTCAAAAGAGAACGTTAAAACTTTTCAAATCAATTCATAATTCAAAACAAAAAAAGTCATTGTTTACCTCTCCTTCTTTCGTCATCATTTAAAACATGGGGCCTCTAATGAACAACAAAGTAATTTTCTTATGAGTGTCCGATTGCTTTGTTTATTTATTTTAGGCGAAAAGGCGCGCAATGAACGCGGGGATCGATCCTTGAATCCTAGCTTCCCGATCTATCCAGCTGACTCGAGTACGCTTTATTCGGCGCTTTTCTGTTGACACTTTAACGCAGTCAATTATTCAACTTATTGAAAGAAAAAGTGAATCGATCATAAAGTACAACACGTGTGAGTTTTTATTTCCCGAAAAATATTCTACTATTTCAACACATCAATTAGGCATTAAACAAACAACAACAACAACAAAACTTGATGACGCTCTACCGTTAATAAACAGTTAATTGTCTAACCGACCAAGTGTTTTTTTTCTATAACACAGACCCCCACTAGTGGCTCAGTGGTAAGTTTGAGGGATCACATTACTAGAAACCGGGTTTCGAATGCTCATGGTGGGCACAGCACAGATAGCCCATTGTGTAGCTTTGTGTTTAACAACAAGCAAACTATAACACGGTATAAATATTCTGCACATTTACCTAACCCTATGTAAGAGTTAGAATCAATGTTCTCATTTATAACGAAACAAAAAAATCAATATTTTTTTCTACAAAAGCACCCCTGCTACTTTCCCTGGGTAGCAATAAATGTATTTCTCACTAAAGAACGACGACATCGCTGGATTTCCCGCATGACTCCCAACGATACCGTAACCAAACAACCGGAAGAAAAGACCGTTCTCCAGTAGAGCATGTCCTAGTCGTACTAATGGACAAAGATCTTTGTGATGTTTCTTAGCGGATTTTTGTAAACAAGATTTTGAAAAAAAAAAAGAAGAACAAAACGAGGTTGTTTTTGTTTTTCATTGGGTTTGTTTTTAGAGCAAAGCCACATTGGGTCAGCTATTGTGTAAACTGCGGAGAATCGAAACCCGAATCTTAACTTTGTAAATCCGTAAACTCGGGGGACTTATATTTAGGAGAATTAATTTTGTAAATATTTGAAATTGACAGGTATCATGGACTGTACGTTTTATGCACAGCCCTAACATTTAGTCTAGTTGGAGGAGTCCTGGAAGGTGTTGTGGTTGTTATGGAAACAAGAAAATTATAGCAATGTTTACCACGGATAATATATTTATGACTATAGAGATTATGGAATGTTACCATAGATAACCTTTTTTTTCTATATCAATGAATATTTTGGAGGTTCCATATATAATATTTTACTGGTTATGTAGGTTACGAACTGCTACTTTGGGTAAAAGTTGGGAATATCATGTAGTTTACTTTGGCTAAGCTTTTGGTAATTGTGAAAATTGTGGATAAGGTTTTGGTAAATGTGAGGATTGTGGAGTTTATTGAGGATATGGTTTTGGTAATTGTGAAGATTGTGGATAAGGTTTTGGTAAATGTGAGGATTGTGGAGTTTATTGAGGATATGGTTTTGGTAATTGTGAAGATTGTGGATAAAGTTTTGGTAGATGTGAAGATTGTGGAGTTTATTGAGGATATGGTTTTGGTAGTTGTGAAGATTGTGGAGTTTATTGTGGATAAGGTTTTGGTAGATGTGAATATTGTGGAGTTTATTGAGGATATGGTTTTAATAGTTGTAAAGATTGTGGATAAGGTTTTGGTAGATGTGAAGACTGTGGA